TCCCTACCATTTGGGTTCATTTATTTTTTATTTATTATTTCTTTTCCTCAAAAAATCCACATAGTGCTCCCAGCGAAGCCAACATGGCACTTACTTGATGCTTCCGTCGCTATTATCTGTAGTGGATTTAGTGAGGGGAGCCAAGATACTGCCAGGGATCCATCCTTCAGCAGCTGGAGAGTGGTCATTTGCAGGCTGGTACACCAGGAACATGTTCTGCTGGTTGATAGCAAGGATCTGAACCACCTCTCCTTCATTCACACAGATCTCATCCTCCTTCAGTGCATAGTAATCTTTAATCACCACCATGGAAGAGGTCCCATTGCACCCTCCCAAATCAGTCTGTGAAAATGGACACAACAGAAAGTGGTGAGCAGGTGGTGTGGAGGAACCTGCCTTTTCTGGCAGCAATCCCACTACTTCACTTCCAGTCTAACTGTTCCAGGGAAAAAGACACAAAACACTTAACAGTTCAGATTGGCAGAAAAGGATTTTAAGGATCTGAAAGGCAGCAGCAATCTGACACAAACCCGCCTCCTATTTCACATCAGATTTCACAGCTGCTAGTGACAGTGCCACAGTGTGTTCTCACTTGTGTGGTGTTACAGGTGAACGAGCTGTGCTGAGCTGAAGTGGGGGAAAGACCAATGAAGGCTCAACATCAGAAGCTGAATCAATACTCACACTTAAATATAGATCATCTTGAAAGTGGCTTTGGTCAACCTCAGTCAGCAGCAGGGTCCAAACACTGCTGGTGGCCACTGACTCTTTGGTGGTTTGTGTGTAGTGCACACGCACCCAAATTATAACCTTCAGCTGGCACTCTGAGAGCTGTGACGTGGGAAAAGGTCTAAACTCTTCTATACCATCAGAGTAGACCTCTTCAGGAATGGGTGGTTAATGGATACTAGAGAAGCCTGAACATTGCTGCTGCCAAGTACTGCAAACGGGTCTCTAGTTCACCAGATCTGCAAGCACAGTACCCTGAAAAACACTGGGATCAGTGCTGCAGGGTCAGGCTCTGTCTCCATTTCCCAGCTGAAGTGCCATCCGTCTGGATGCCAGAGCTTTTGCAGTCTCTGTTTAATCCCAGATCACATTTTATATCATTGCTTCACTTCTGTGTGTTGATTCCTGTTGATCTGGTTAGCTGATAATTAAAGCTAACCTCATGGATCATCTATGGTGTAAGAAATGGGCTATGAGATCATGTTTTATCAGATGAGCTCAGTACCTTGCTTTGTTCATACTTGTCTCCGGGCTGTGAGTGTTCATACCCTGTGCTGCCGTTGGAGGTAGATATCTTCAGGGGTGGGAGAGATGGGTTACGGCTTGTAGCCTTCAAAGGCTTCTCAGACCCTACTGGAATAGAAGAATGGGGTCTGCTGTTGGGCTGAGGGACCCTACCAGTCTGGGGCCTCAGCACCGCTGAGCTACTCTCTTTGCGTTGGTACTCTATGGGAGACTGCAGAGCTGCAAGAGAAGACAAGAATTAGTCAAACGCTTTCAATGACCTTGCAAAGGGCAGCAGAGGGGGTGTGGGGCAATTCAAACAGGACAGACACATCAGCTGCAAAGCAAAGAGGAACAGGAGATGCCACATATGGAAGCACACAGTGAGTTCATGGCTGGACAAGACACAAGCATGAACTGAACACAGCACTCCATGCTACTGCAAAGAACAGCTCCTCTAACCAACACAGTGGGCTAAAATATTTGCCATTTATAGCATACATCTTTGTATTCCTTTCCTTTGAAATCGCACAAATTAATCATGTCCTGTAGTCAAAATAAATGAAAGCCTGAATAAGAGATGCACAGTGCATTTACTGAGAATTTTGCTAACATCAGAAAACACAGATCAAGACTCCTAAGTCTCTTCTGCGTATTCTCAAGAGAGTGTGACTACTACATACTCTTCAGACACAATGCACTGCAACTTGGCTCTCAATGTGCTTTTTACTTTAACTGTTTCGGTTCAAGGAATCTGCTGGGACTGACCAGCAAGTGAGGAAGTTATAGATGGCACCAAGACATTTTATGACCCTTGTCACTAAAGCAGATTGTGTTTATGCCACAGGGACTGCCAGCAGTCCAGGGCTCTCCAGAAAACACTCAAAAGGCAACACTAAAAAAAAAAAAAAAAAAACGAGAAAAATGAAAAACACCCAAAAGGCAACACTAAACAGCTTCATAAACCTTAAAAAAAAGTGTCTGCTTGTGACAGTGTACATTTCATAGTTATGGAGAGAGCTTACACTGGGAAAAGGAAGGATAAAAATTCCACATCATAAAGAAATAAATAATTTGTTACATTTGGAGGAGAATGGATCAGGACTGGGACTCACAGTGAATGGGAAAGGAACAGATTTGCTTGGCTCAGACCTATGGATTTGGTTTTTCACATGTCATGTAGCTTTAATGGATGATTTATAGTCAGTTAATACTGTGTACATGCACCAGACTAAAGCTACTGGAATGCAGAGAGACTAGTCTAGCAAGAGGCAGACGGAGGACATAATGTCACAGCATCAGCCCAACCAGGGAACCACAACAGAAGGAATGTCTTTCCCAACAAGAGGAAAGGGAAAGAAAAACAGAAAGGCTCAGCACCACACAGTGTACTCTCTAGCATTCCCCATACAGAGAAAGACAGGACAACTCCCTACAAGAAATCACTTCATACTAAAGAACAAAAGACAAAAAAAAATCAAGGAGGATGCTGGATCACCATTTTGTTCAAAAGGACACAAACATAGATCTGTAGCAATCTGTAAGATTACTTGGTTCCAAAATCTATGTGGTGACCCTTGTCACAAAAGCAGATTGTACTTATGCCACAGCGAGTGCCAGTTTCACTCGCTTACCTCAGCTGCAGCTGGAAATGGTTTGGTCCTGCTGCAGATCAGCCACAGAGGGCAAGGAAGGTTGGGGAGAACTTTGACAAAGAATTTGACAGTGACATTTTTCTATTATATACAGTAGATTAGGCTGCAAGGTCTTTATCGATAAGACCTGAATGAATACTTATCAATCTATCCTGAAACAATCTATCCTACTCAGTGCTTTTAAAGGGTATTTAGTTGAGTGTCCATTTGTGACTACTAATACCACCATTAACCATCAAGTGATGCCTGGTTTCCAGCCTCCTGTTAAACATCTGTTAGTATTCTTAGAAGCTTCTGGCAAAAAGCAGTGTCCACATACTTGTATGTTCCCTCTTTCTCAACTTCCCCCCCCAAAACACGATTAAACAAAAGGTACAGATAAATGGCATTTCCCTTATGAAAGATATCCATCAGTGACATGTTTTCTTTACAGCTGCTTCTTAAAGCAAAATGAAAGAAGTCATGATAGCCAATCATTTGGTGCACAACCTGTTCCTCAAGCTTATCAGTTTTTGTTTTTCCAGGGAGAAATATGAAACACTATTACAGTGTAATGGCACCGAGTTTTAGATTTATGAACTGTAGATGCAAACACCCTTCACTCTTTAGGGCTTCCCTGCTGAAGAGAGAAAATCAGAGATAGCTTGGGCAAGAACTCACAGGGAATATTTTGTTATTAAGTTTATGTAGCGTTGGCTCAGTGTGGATTTAATATGATTTTAAAGACAGAAAACATCTGCTTTAATGAAATGCAACGCTAAAGAACGTATTTAAAGATTAGGTAGCCTCAATAAGATTACATTCTAAAAGCCACTTAAAATGTTCTGGACTGGATGGGCTCTACTGGATACAATATCATTTTCTTGGATCTTATTTATAGGTTTAAGGTAAATCCTTAAGCTTGTGTTTTAATATAAATCTATTTTTACTTTTAGTTTTAGAGATAGTGATGATTATGTTCCCAACCCATCAAATTGTTTGCTGGCCTCACAGAGGATAGGCTAAATAGGAGCTATAAAGATGCTACAGTAAATAAAGGGGCTCACAGGGCAGTGGGAGCATAATAGTGAAGATGTCACAAAATAAACCCCCCAAACAAGCAGAAAGATGTGGGAGGGACAGAAAAACCCTATGGTAGTGTCTGTGGAGTTCTCATAGGGTTTTTAAAAAAAATTCTGCAGGTAACTATTAGTGGAACTTATTTTTCTTCCAATAATTCCTCATTCAAAGCCAACTGCACTGACATAAAACCATCAAGTTTTGGTACCAACTGGTCAAACTGGAGAACTTAGACTGCTCATCTCACCAATGTATTTAAGGAATCATTTTACAATGGTTGTATGAGGCCCTTTCTATTCCAAGTCATGAAAACCCATACCAAGTTATGGCATCATGGGTGAAACATTATTTCCCCTTTCAGCTGAGCTACAGTTTCTGAACTGTCACAAACAACTTTCACATGTAACCCCTTCCCAGTTAACTTCTGAAAAGCAAAATTAAGCTGCACTAAAATTTTAAAAACCTCCAGGCTGAAGAAAAGGGACCCTTTTGCTTTGATGTGAGCTGAAAGAGCCTCTTCCAATTTTGCAACAAAAAATCCACAAAACCTAACACCAAAACCCAAAAATCCAAAAAAACTAACAGATTGTGCCAAACCAAAACATTTGGATTCAAGCAATTAAGTTTCATTATTGAATATGTATTAAGTTATTAAATATAGATCTCTTCTCTAATATAAGCTCCATTAAAAAAGCTGTTTTGAAATGAATAGTGCATCCAAAGTAATGATTCCCACTTTGTTGGTTCCAAGAAAACAAAAGAGATGCTAATTTTAGATTC